ATATGCCGGCGACGCAGAATATCTAGTACGCCCTGGTTATCAAATGTGCTGACCCGATATTCTTTACGCATCGCTTGAGGCCCCTTTCTCAGTTCCAGTTTTTACATTATTTTCGTATTCTATAACAGCGAGACAAACTGCACAAGTTTGTCGGAATGCCGCGCTACCAACACAAAATAATTCGCACATTCCAGGTAGTTTCCCTCTTTTCCACTAAAAGGTGTATTGCGACAAAACCCTACGAAAATCATCGGCTTCGCCGTTTTCTGCAACAACCACAAGAACTTACATATTCGCGTCATGCTATGCCACGTAAGTCATTGCGATTGGAATTCGTGTACACTTAATGCTTTTGTGATCCACCATTCATTGTAAGATCAACGACCTTCAAAAATCAAAATTGAGCTGGTTTTCTCGTCCCTAAGTTAAGGACGGATTGTCATTCGAGTTGTGTAATCACGCCTGTCTTTGTTGCTGTTTAGGAGCCAAATTTAGCTCGTTTTGCCAATCTTCCCCGAAGTAGCTAGCTCAGAACGGTGTGCTGCGCCGGTCTGTGGAAAAAATGGCGCGCCATTTACATGTCTACTAACTATATCTTCCCTCCACGATGCGCGGTGGAAGTCTCCTGATTAAAAGATAAAAATCTGAAAAAGTATTTAAATTCCTAGGGCCTTTTTGTGGGGTGGTGGCGGTGGCAGTGGTGGTGGTGATGAAAGTGATGGGGGCTCGAGGGGGGAGCTAGAGTTTTATGAGGCACTTACAGCGAGGCACGACGAAATCCTGGATCCGCCCCTGGTTACCTGTCACTTAAATATGCCAATGTCAAAGCATCTGATGCATTACGCCTGTGTACACCATAATTAGTGCTCAACGACAACATCATGCGAAGCTCTGCAGTCATTCTCTGCTGTAGTAATATGGCTGAGTGACTTCCCCATCGCTGAAGTGAGGCAGACATTTATTTTCATAACAGTAATAATCAGTTGTGCATTCATTGCTAGCTCTTTCGAGTGGCCCTCATTGACTCCCTGGCTTGTGAATCGTGGCTCATCTGGCCACTATGGGCTTGATAGAGCTGGTGTGCTGCTAGGGGGGGGGGGGGGAGGGGCGAGCGTCCCTCTGGCACATATTGGCATTGTATTGGCCAGGAGTATTGGCCAGGCTGTGATAATTATTCGAATTTTGTCATCGGCATGGAAAGTTTTCTATAATAATTTTTGGTGTTCAGTGTCAAATGCCATAACGAAAAAATAGATGCTCTGGATAATTCTCCAAGTTTAGCTGCCGGTTGAGCGCAGCTCCATGTAAGCAAAAACGTTCCGGGTAGAATAATTGCTTGGACTATTGCTCTCGCCTGTTGAGGTAGATTGTACAATCTAACACGCCGGACGAGAGGGACAGTCAAAAGAATTATTCCATACGTGGTGCTTATAGCTCTTTTCAGTCCTTCCGTAAAACTGCAACCAAACGCTTAGTTTGCAATCGTGGTGCCCGGAATTCGTTGTCAGTGCTGACAGGCTCGCTTAATGGAAGACGCTGACGCTAACGGTGCGTTTGCGCTATGAGCGGTGAATTAATGGTGAATAACGTCTTGGAGTCACCCGATAAATTTTCGCCTCCACCACAAATTTCGGGCAGTCGGAATATCTGGGCAATGGAAGTGAATTCATACAAAACGAAGGATACCATGAGAAGTAAGTCGAAATTCCGTGTCAGCCTACGAGTACAATGAAAAATCATCACCCTGCCTAGACGCATTCCCCCGTAAAATTGCATTTCATGGAACTTCTACACGAAGATTACATAGTTACCGCTGCATCGCTGATGTCTGCAGTGGTGCACCGTGCACTGCACTGCGCGTGCACCTATCTATATACCCGAAATTATCCGCTATCCACTATGTCCCACCGCACCGCTATGTCCCACCGCGAACTGCTCTCGGTTATGGCGACAAAGACGCGGCCTGCCATACAGGGAAGCATCGCGGCACAACCTAACATCTCCCCTAACACGCGCTGCTCCTCGTGGCCGTAGCTGGTGGTGCGGATGTTGAGGCCACACTCGGCGGCAGCAGGGCTATGACGCGTCCGCCGGCGGGAGCGCAGGCCGCCACCGCTTCCCAGCCTGCTTCGGGATTCACCGGCGGCCCAAGTTCAGGGCGCGTCGGCAGGCAGCGCCGCCCCAAGACATCCTCTAGCAGTGGGGCCGGCCACTGTGGGAGCCGGCGGCCGGGCCGGGCGAGCGCCGACGCTCCGAGCGCTGCCACTTGGGCCGCTTTCATCGCGGCCGATCGGACGTGGGATTGTCGGCGGCTGGCCGCGCAAATGGCCCGCCGATCGGCGCTGAGGCGTCGCCCAGCGGGCGGGGAATGGGCCGCAGCGCGCGCTGCCCGGTCGCTGCCCATTCCGGTCACGGACCGATCAGCTCGGACGGAGTTTACGGGCCACCAGGGTGGCGACGGCGCCGGCGATGAAAGTGCGACACACGAAATGGGACGCGGGCGGGCAGAAAGGCTGTCCGTCTGTCTGACTGACCGCTGCCGCCGCTGGCCCCGCTGGGTCGTTTTCTCTCGCGCCGCGGTCGATGTTCTCACGCCCACGGAGTCGAGTGCGCACCACAGGTCTTTGCTAAGGGCTTGCTTCCGCGGCTGGGCCAGCCGACTGGCAGTGTCGAGCCTCTGAACAACTCCGCAAAAGTTAGCCCTGCCCAGACGAAGTCTGGCAAGTTACGAACATGTGTTCTTGGGAGAACTATGTGACGCCTCCTTGAATATATGCATATTTGTAACACGTAGTCCTGAACATATTTTGAGTTATGTTGCTAAATTGATTACTGTTCGGTAAAAGCTTCCTTGCTAGTGCAACTCGACTTGGGTCACCTGATGTTCCTGGATGCCATTGTGCACTAAGGCATCTTCAGCAGGCCAGTTTGGTTTGCAGACAGATTCGCAAATGCCTTCCTCTGAGGCATACCAGCTGCTTTATTGACAAACCCACTGTTGATTGTCATCACATCACATTTCCGGGATGGCTGTGTGAGATTTACACAGCTCAACAAGCTTCAAACGTGAAATCTGATGGTGGAGATCACATTTCACCGCTCTCTGAGGCTGTTCTCGGCATGTTCGCTCCACTGCCAGGGCTTGCCGACCAGCGGTGGATCGAGCGCCAAAGCTGAGCGTGAGCCGAGCCGTTCTGGTGACCGTCCGACCTGACTGACCGGGCGGTCACCAGGGTCGCACCACTCACCGAGGCCTGGAAGTCACACGTCCGAATCCGCTGTTTGGGCGTGGAAGGTGCTGCAACGGACCGATGATGACTGCACCCTGGAGATCAGATTTGCAATGCAAGCGCAGACTGTAACAGACTGCAGACCGATTGAAACGGTACATGGTGATGTGTTACGCAACTGATCACACTGTAACAGCCTTACTGATGCGTGGCAGATTGAAAAGAGAACAAATAGGACCAAATTTACAGGACGTGAAACTGGAATTCAGTAACCATGGCGGGAGTAAGGGGGAGAATGGGGAAGCACAAACATGAGAGCGCACGACAAATACAGAAGAACAACTGCATGACACGCCGTTGCATACAGGCTCAGAGTGCCGATAGAGCCTTTTTGTGACAACTCAGATGCATCAACACCTTTTACCGGACGAGAGTAGTGGATAATCCCAATGCATCACGGTGGACGTGATGTTGGGAACGAAGGCATCACGATATGACTGTTAGGAACGTTGGGTGTGCGCCTGACCGGAAAGGACGTGTCGACAGGGACGCCACAAAGGACTAAAATCAGGCATGGAGTCCAAGTCCAAGAACTCGAGTCAAAGTCCGAGTCCTGGTCCGGGTCTGAGTCCAGAATGTAGTCCGCGTCTTGAGTCTCTCCGCGTCTGAGAGCTCTCACCTTAAGTGAGCCAAGCCAGACTACGGCCCTTTTCACGGTAAAATAGTCCGAGACTGAGCCAGAGTACTTCGATTCTGAGAGTCCAAGCCCATGCTTAAGCCATGGAATCATAATCCGGTTGGTTCCGGTTTTTACCCGATCGCACAAGACACACCTGTTTTAAGATTGGACTGCCTGCAGCAGAGACCGCCAATGGTAATACTTGTAACTGACTAGTAAACTAAATTAAGTATAGGTTAAATACAAAGAAAATACGCCTGTAAATTGAATCGATTTGATTCATTCCGAACCCTGAACGGTTACGTGTTCAAATCCGAGCCCGTCCGAACCGGACCCATACCGGCCTGGAAACACCACAACGTAAAAGTCACCATCGTCGCACTCACGGAAGGTATGTAAATCCCGAAAGGCTTCGGCGATCCACGAGTTTGGGCGTGACACGTTCCGCAAATCACCGCGCAAAAAAAAACGCATCCATCGGACAGGAGTCATCACAAGTACTAAAGCTACAGTTGCCGGCTATACTGCCACCCACAAACCTGTTTCACGCCAAGCAGGGTTGGCAGGTGGATAGCGTCTCAAGGAATGTCACAGGCCAGCCCGGCACGAATGACGCTCACCGCCGCCGCGTCATGAAGCCTGACGTGGGCTGACTGGCAACAGGCGCAGAAGCGTCCGCCTGATCGTCGGCTTCAAACGCACTCTGTGGGGTTTCCGTGACTGGCACGCGCGGTCCGCTGGTACGCGGACGACCCAGCCGCGAGGCAGCAGCGTTCCTCCACCAGATGAATAACGTGTGATCACCCGCGACGGTCGGCGTCCTGCGCACATTTCCCGCTATGGCACGATCACACGTCACCCCACCAAGCGGTGGGGCGCAGCAGGCGCAAGGTCTCCGGCTCTCAGCAGCGATCTCCCGTATTGTCGTTTGATTTCGAAGCATTCGCTCCCATCGCGCCGCCCAGCCGCTGCGGAAGGCCAGCGGGTCCACGCTTTCGTCCGGTCGCCACCCAACCTGCTCATTCGGCCGTCGTCGGGGCGGCGACGGCAGCAGCGGCGTCGTCCTGTACGCGGCGTGGTGCTGCCCGGGGTCACACGACCGAGTCGGCCGCGCCACCGCCGCAGCCGCAGGCGCCGCTGGCGTACTCGTGGCTCGACGCTCCCTGCTCGCTGGACGTGACGCCGCCACCGCCGCTGGGCCCGCGGGTCGGCGTCTCTTGCGTGCTGGGTGTGACGCCGTCGCGTTCGCCAAGCTCGGGGAAGGGCGTTCCCTGCGTGCTGGGAGTGACGCCGTCGCCTCCACGGAGCTCGGGGCAGGGCGCCCCCTGCGTGCTGGCAGTGACGCCGTCGCCTCCACGGAGCTCGGGGCATGGCGTCCCCTGCGCGCTGGGCGTCACGTCGATGGTGACGGTGGCGATGGGCGGCGGTGGGGGCGCCGGGTCGCTGTTGTTGCGCGCCATTTGTGGCGCCGCCACCAGGTAGGCTGACAGCGATGAGCAGCGCCGACTGTAGGGCGACAGCCGCCGCTCCAGCGGGCAGTGTAGCTCGAACGGAGAAGCCAGCATCGGCTGCAATGGCACACCAGACGGATCACAGCACGGCTGGACCGCGGCGGCAACGGCGAACCAAGTGCTGCGCAGGCTCGACTGCGGGGCGATGCTGCTCTAGTTACTGCACGGAGCTGGTGGCCATAACAATAATACCTGGTTTACCGCGCGGGCCCCGCTGCGACTGGAAAGGGTCTAAGTTGTCACAGACGCCCAACTTTAACGGTAACGTCGCTCGGGCTCGGGCGCAATCGCACCAGCAGCCGGATTACAGAGGCCTGACAGACATAGCAAAGGCTTCCGACGCACAGGGTGCAAAAGCAGCGATTCTCAGGCGCCGCACAAACAGCAACGGTAGCTGCCGTGCTTCATCATTTCTGTCACAGAGCAGCGTTCCAGCGGACAGAGTTGGGTCCGTGCAGGGGACTGCCGGCCATCCCTTATCTGGGAGTGTAAGAGGAGTTACACGCATGATGCTCACGTTTATTGGCTTATGATATGTTTCAGCATGTTCTGGACTCGAATGGCTGGCAATCACCGAAAAAACGTTCACGAAGCTTCCTTCGTTTTTACCTTTCAAAGCATTTAACTTTGTTTACCATGTGTCCGATCTTCGTATGCTAATCCCAGGAGTTCTACCATATCTAGTTGCTTGTGTTTATTTCTGCCGACCAACGCGCGCATAGAAACGACCACTTGCTTTCGTCATATCTGAGTTTGGCCGCGCTCTTCTGCCAGTCAAGCCCGTATAGCTAACGCATTGGTCCCGTAGCGACAATTTGCTATTCCGCAGCGGCCACAAAGAGCTTGGCTCCAGGTCGGCTCTGACAGAGAGCGGCCACAGAGAGCTACGCGCAAGGTCCGATCCTGACAGAGAGCGGCCACAGAGAGCTACGCGTCAGGTCGGCCGGCTGACACTGGTCGTGCTTGGTGGTATGCAGATGGCTTTGCCCTGTGACCACTCACCGCAGCGAGTATCGGCCAAAGGCCACATCCCTCACCAGCATTCTGAGATTACTTTCACTTGGGTAGAATGGTGATGTCACTATTTACAGAGAGGTGGGAATATTCTATAACTGCCGACATGTTTAACACGTGCCCGGGTGGCTGGATGGATACCCTTCGCTCGCTCAATTTGACCCACCGCTGAGATCTCGAGAACTAAGGAAGCTAGAAACAAAAAAATTCAGGGTGCGTTGATCTGTAGGTAAATTCACTTAGGCCAAAGTTTCAGGTTCCTAGGTCATGAAAAACGGGTCGATTAAGGTCAAACATGGTCAAATTCCAAGTTGGTGTTCAAAGTGCTCCCAGAACCTAGATAACCGTTTCTAAGCAAAAGGTCACATGCTCATTCAAGGTCGGTCACCTTGCTTGACCTTTTGAAGGTCATAGTGACAAGAATCATACAAGATTGCTTTGAATTTTGCATTTGAATAAGCGGCAAAGATTACGCTAGCCAGTATGTTCCTGAAAACAAAATGTTAACCTGGGTCATTTCATCTTCTTCAAGATCATGAGTTGCAGTCCACAACCCTGCGCTTCTTGAGACCTCAGCGCCCCTAATTCCTTAGCTACATGCCTGGGAAGATGTGCAGACTATTTCGGGGAGACTTTTTCAAGGTCCGGATAGCGCGAGATGGCCAGCAGAACCTGTGCTATGCTCCACAGCTCGCCGTCGCGTGAGTGGAGGCTGGTCTGTAGAGTTCTCGCAGGAGTGGAAGCTATGTGACTGGTCCACGCCAGTAGATCAGTTCGGCGTGGCCCACGGTCCCGAAGCTAATCAGTGAGATGGCGAAGACTTCACTGTTGTGGGTAGAAGTGGTTAAGGCGTCTGCGTTAACTACTGCGCGTCTTGGAAAACGGAGGTAAGGGGCTCGATTTTCCGCGGTGTTCGCTCTTCCTGCCAGGGTGAGAGGCAGGCGACGCTATGTAGCCTCAGCAGCTGAGTGCGTCGTAAAATCCAATGACGACAAACTGGTTTCGATTAGAGCCGTTCGGCCAGTTGTGACAATTTCAGGGCTGAGGGATGAAGGATAGTGGATAGTGGTGCGCCAAAACTACATGAGCTGGGGGCCTCCGCCGGGACTTGGCCCGCACAAGGGCCCCTATGCGGAGTATGTGCCCGCCGCTCGTACGGGGCCCCGTACGAGCGGGCTCGAGTGGGCTCAAGGGGCACTTAAGCCCACTCGTGACTGACGCATGCAGTTTCCTCCGGATACACGGGGTGTTGTAAGAATGCAGATTGAAGCGAGGATGAGGACTGAAGGGCTCACGTCCTCAATATTGACGGTGCAAACAGGTTCTCTTCCTCTTTACCGTTTGCGTTGGTGATAGCCCATTTGTGCCCGTATCCTATAGATGGCTAGAGATAATCCGCCCGGTGCACGGGTGGCGATGGTGAAAAGACATGTTCGAACCAACAGATGTGAAGCGTGGGACGGCGTGGTGAGGGGGCCGGCGGCGCCAATTGTCACCAGCTGACCGGACAGGACGGGCGACGGTGGCCACACGACTCGACTGAGCCCGCGTATGCGAGGCGTCATGCACAAATAGCACGGGTTTTGACTCGGCTGCGAACGCAGCGCGGCGGTTTGTGTGACTCAGGATGGCTGCCGCTGGCATTTCGCCCCGCACGCGGACTGGGTGAACGGTCAGTGACACACTAACAGCCCGAATGAGCACGCGACCAGCACGCTGGACACTCTTCTGGGTACTTCACCCACGCTCGTGTACATTCCATAGGTCGCAAGTACATGTGGGCTTCCTACTTCAGTGGACATTATATGAAAGGGGATTTGAATTAGATTGGGTGGTGTATACGTTTGCCATCCTGTGTAGTACGTACATTCAGAGCTACATTACATTCAGAGCTACATACGAGAGTGCGGTGCAGAAGCGCGTAATGAGCACCACATCTGCCTCCCAGATGGCAGTTTCAGGAATTGTGGCTCTTTCATGACGTAAAGAATATTTAGATCCAAAGAAATTTGTGACCCTATACTATTGACATCTAAGACATGTTCATTCGTACCCCATCGTTTGTACGACCCACACCATCATTTCACATCGCCACATGTTAAGCGCTGGCTGGCACGACAGCCGTTCACCTCAGCGCAGTGGAGGGTGCTGCCACCCTGTGGGCGGCAGGAGAAGTGTGATGCGTGGGACATGGGCTGCCTCACGTCGCACTAGGTTCCACGCCATGCAGTTGACAGTCGAGGCAGGGGCGGATCCAGGGGGGGGGGGGGCACGGGGCCATGCCTCCCCTTGGACGCCGAAGGCGCCAGTGGGGTCCGAGGGGCCATAGCCGGCCGAGCAGGTGCAGGTTTTCAACACCGAAGCAGCAAAACTGGATATATCTGGACTTCCAGGCGACCAAAGACAGCTGTAAGCGAAAGTGAAAAGCCTATGAGAAGTCAACAAAATTATTCAATGATTGGAAAAGATGTAAACTGGAAATTCTAAGCCTCATTACACTGTCTTGGGGCCCCATGCTGTTTCCGGGGCAAAACAAACTTGAGTTAGTTCCTAACAACCATCAAAACCAAGCATGGACTTGATTCCTACACTTAAAAGGTCATCCAAGAGCACATCTAGCCTGTGCATTTCTTTACGAATTAGCGGAACGGAACGGAACGGATTAACACTGCACCGTGAATCGGTGCTGGACTCTTGGTGGAGCTACGCAAGTAAAGATAGGATCTCCCTTCCCGTGCTTTTGTTGGTGGACTCTGGACTCTTGGTGGAGCTACGCAAGTAAAGATAGGATCTCCCTTCCCGTGCTTTTGTTGGTGGACTCTGGACTCTTGGTGGAGCTACGCAAGTAAAGATTGGATCTCCCTTCCCGTGCTTTTGTTGGTGGACTCTGGACTCTTGGTGGAGCTACGCAAGTAAAGATAGGATCTCCCTTCCCGTGCTTTTGTTGGTGGACTCTGGACTCTTGGTGGAGTTACGCAAGTAAAGATAGGATCTCCCTTCCCGTGCTTTTGTTGGTGGACTCTGGACTCTTGGTGGAGTTACGCAAGTAAAGATAGGATCTCCCTTTCCGTGCTTTTGTTGCTGTGGAGAGGACAATAGCGAGATTGTGCGGGATGTCGCGGTTACAATATAAGTCCAACCTTATTTTTGAACGGTTCGAAATGACTTCGAAAAACATTCGAGAGCACCATTTCACGATAGTTGTTCTCGCGTGCCAGGCGTCCGCTGCCCGGTGTTAACTGCAGCAGCCTACGTCACTTGCGTTCATTGGCAATGCAACCCCCGCCATCGGAATCCTTGTTCGTAAGATTGCGAGCACGCATACTTATAACTTTTTATGTAAGCCGCTTTACAACTTAGTTCTGAACAAGGATGAACGTAATCGTTTGTATTGGTCACTTTATGTTTTGCCTGATTTTGATTCGCCCTATTGAGTGCTACAGAAATCCCTTGCCTTTTCCGCGCAAAACGCCCAGAGTGTAAAACACTGGGGAACACACTCTATTTCCTGTCAGGGACTGAACGACTATTCCGTTATGGAGCGGGCTGTCTACTCGCTGTAACGCCGGCACTAAAGGGGCGGTGTCCCCTGGTCCATACGGAAGCCCTCAAGGGGATCAATCATACATTGTCTGACACCTGACGTCGAAGGCCCCCTGGCCCAGGCATCTGGCTCTAGATCGGAGGGAAAGCCCTCATTGACGCAACGAGACACCTTATCACCGCAGGTGGTCAAATCATTGGCACAGAGAATCCAGTTCGAGGGCCCTTGGCTGAAATGAAATGGAGGGCCCCGTTTGGTACTGGGGGCACTGGCAAACACAGTGTCTTTGACACAGACTGACACAGGGTCTTTCCGTTGTCTCATCTGGTACCCCCCATCATAAGTTCTTACATCTCCCTTCATTACCTGAGGACCCCGACCAATGCAAGATTCCCTATGGCATTTAGCGTCCCAATCTTGTCCCTGTTCAACAAACGTTTCCCTGGCCGACTTCTTGCTTCTTGCTTCTTGGTGACACAGAACCATCTGTTGGGTTCTGTGGATCCCTGACCGACAAATGAACCCTCACTGTTTCAGGGGTCCCAAACTCCCCATTAATGCTAATCGCGGGTCGCGGTCTTGTCCCTGCTTGATAAGTGAGCTCCCAGGGCTCAGACCGACACAGAGCTGTCTGTTCGGTGTTGGTGATCTATAACCGAAATACAAAAAAAAAACTCATTGCCCCAGGGTCCCCAATCGGTGCGAGGCCTCTAACTGACATTGGAAGGCCCGGAGGACGGGCTCCTTAATGTGATCCACAGATAGCCCTGCGTATCCTCTAATCAAGCATTTGATCGTCGGGCCCGAGAGGCCCTTCGGGCTTCTCTGCGGGCCCCTCGAACACCGCCCACACCGAATCTGGGTTCCTTGCATATATAGAACCCTTGTTGGGCAGTGTAGTGCTCCGATCGACAAAGGGGCCCTCACTGATTCACGGGCCTCGTCCAATATAAATCGCAGATTCCCGCCTTGTCTCCGCTGGGAAATGGGCCTTTAATCCCAAACCTCACGCTAGGGCAGTCTGGTGGTGAGTTCGTCTCGTGTCACGGCCGCCAAACCTTCACCGCAGCGGCGTGCTTCGCAAAATAGGGTAAGGGCGGGAAAGGGACTGAGCAGCGAAAACCCAGCCCTAAATACACTTAAAACATCTTTCCCACTGATCTACCACGCTTTCTGTCTCGGCGGTAGATGTTATTGGGCATGGAAGTAGTTTTGTTTGGCATCCGGCGTCGAAATCAGGTTTCGGTCATTGACGTCGGGTCGATGTTATGCTGTTTCAGATGTTGCTGGACGTATATGACTTCGGAAAAAGTGTAAGTTCATATGCGCGACCATTAAAGACTGCCACGTAAACCTCCGGCTGGTAGCTGCAACGCTACCAGCCGGAGGTTTACAGTTGTGTTAGCAGTTGCGTTACAGGTCCATTTTACAACGCAGCTCATATGTTAGGCACGTTCGACACAGCCGGTGTTGTTTGGTTGGTATTTTGTTAACATTTTTAACCAGTTTGACGTTTAAGGACATCTTTATACTTTCAAAACATGCATATACATAATCATCTCGAAACCAAAGCATGATGACAGCGACATCAGTATCATTCGGCTTGCCATTCCATTACTTGCCTAGAAATAAGTTCGTCACCTAAGCTAAAACAATAATCATGAAACGGTCTGACCTAACCGCAACCGTGGGTAGATCACCTGGCGCCTGGACCTTAAACCCGTGATGCAATCGGTGCATGGATTCAAGTAACATGGGCTTAGAATTGTCTCAAAACGCCAGTTCACTGTTGAACGGGCGCGGTATGCTATAATGGGCGGTGCCAAATGTTGATATGGTTTCCGGTGACCTCCATAGGTCGCGTCTTTCAATGGCTCCGAACAGACGAGAGTTGTTAACGTAACATTACGTGTTCTATGCCTCCAGAGAATGCCTTCCTTTTTCTTGGCTTCCTTTAAAAAAAGAAAACCAAGTGTTCCGGTGTTCCGTCGGCATAAGGGTACTGCGCTGATATAGCTGCCAACAAAATAAATCGTTTCTCGCGAAATGCCTTGGTGCGCCGAGTCAGAGCCTATTGTTTATCGTTGGTTCAACCCTCGACAGCATCGAAGTAGTCGTCGATTTCTCTTGGAATATGAATATCAAACTGGTCTTATCTACACACACGTCTTTCATCTACCACATTGATGGCAAACAGATTCCAGGTTTATGGGCTGACTACCCCGTTTTTAATCCAACCGTGACCAGCCATGTAACTCAGTGCACAATCGCCACGGCTCCCTCTCCCCCCCCCCCCCCCAATGTGGCCCGTGCGTCGCTGCCTGGCCGACGGCGCTGTATGGTGGCCTGCCGTTCCGGTGGCTGACTCACCTCCGCCATAGGGCAGCTGGGCCTGTGCGCCGCCAGCTCCGGCACCGGGTGGTGGTACTTGAAGTTGTACTCGTACGGCTCCAACATCCGAATCTTGCCCCACCTGCGGGGAGGGCACGACAGTCCCGTCACATGTCAACATTTCAGACTGCGTGCGCCGCACAGTCGCGGTTGAACACGGCCCGACTGAGATTGTCACGCGTCGGTGTCAGTATCAGTACCAGTGTTTTGGAAACCATCCACATGGTGGCTATTCGGTTTCAGGTCACACAGGTGCGGCACGAAAAGGCACACACAAAAAGTACACCAAAGTGACCACAGAGCTCAAACAGACTTATCGATGCACTATGGGCCGGGTCAGATCAGTTGTCAGTGGTTAAAATCGCATCACGTTTGGGGTCTTAGCGCGCTCAGTGTTGGGGCACGGTGGACGCACGATGGCAGGCGGTTTCAAGCTGCCGCGGCTCGATACGAGAACGCCCTCTACGTGGTGGTCAGTTGGTGTCTGGGCAAGTGTAGGCTACCTCTGTCCGAGGCGCGCGATTCACCACTCGAAACGGCGGCGCATGGCGCAAAAAGCGAGCGGAGCTCCAGAGGCGCGCCTACCTCCTTCAGCGCCCTAAACACTTGCCGCGGTACGCCACCACGACCGGGATACTCGACCATCCAAAGGAATTTAGGGCCGGAATTATATGATGGCGTTTTCCTGGAGCCGGTAATTATCTTTGCAGCAAAATGGATTTTTTCTCAAAATTTTGTGTAGTTAACTATTGTTCGCCCCACCCCACACGCACAGGCAGCACGTGAAACGAGGAATACTGCAGTGGGCGAGGTTAAAAAAAACTACATCCCTGCCTAGAAAACACAATCCCCCAACTGACCAGTAGACTACATCCCTGTAGGTTAGTTATGTTAAGCATGTCTATCTGATAATTTTAGTAGATTAGTCTCACCATCATCTAGCGTTTGATAGATTGCTCGAGGTCATCCGGTTCATCAGCTGTTCGGGAACAAATCCAAACAGGCAGGATTATATTGAAAGAAGAAAGAAGCCATGGACATCTAACAGTGAGGTTTTTGGAAGAGGCCCAGACCTTGGACACCTGATCGCGTTTAGCTGATGAGAGTCTGTCTGCACAGTCAGACCAGTGAGCTAGAATTGCCTTTGAACTAGGGTGGGAGTGAAAAACTCGATCGCAAAAAGACCTTACGGGAGTGAAAAATTCAAGTCACAAAAGTTGGAGCTTATGAGTCAGTGAGAGATGCTCCGGCAAACAAAGACGTATATTTCAAGTTGGCATGGATGTAACACCATAGACATGACATTTTTTTGTTGAAAACATCTTAGGAGGTCCTTACACTGAAACATAATGCATTAAAGAATAGTAAGTTCATAATAACGTGATGAGCACTAAAAACTATGTAACACCAATGTTTTGATGCTGCGCATTGCACTTACGTCCCGCTGGACTTTTTAAGACAAAGCAAAGCAACGGAATTCAACAACAAAAGCAACACAAAATTCAACAAGCATGAAACATTCAAACAAAAAAGCATTTGACTGCTAGGGGCCAAAGTGCGAATCGGGAGGGGGCAGTGGCCCACTCAAAAAAATATAAATCGACAACCGTGCAACAAAGCACGTCTCAAGAGGCACCCGGGTGGCCGGTTGAATACCCGTCGCTCAGTTGGGGGTCAATTTGACCCCTAAGATCACAGAAATTAAGAAAAGCTATGGACACCAAATTCAAAGAGTTTGTTGACCTGTACGTGAAATTACTTGCGTCACAATTTAAGTTTCGCTCTTTATTACCTTCGGGTCAAACAAGGTCACACAAGGTCAAACTCTAGATTGGTGACAAAGTGCCTCTACACCCTCTCATGCAACTGCCGTGAGCCTAGATACCTGTTCTGAGCAAAAAATCACTGGTGCCGATTAAAAGTCAGTGACCTTGTTTGAGCTTTGAAAGGTCATAATGACCAAAATCATACAAGACTGCCTTAATCCTTGCGTTTTAATAAATGTCAAGGATAACGCTAGGCAGTATGTTTAAAAACGTTGAACTGGGCCATTTTAAGTCAACCTAAGGACCTATTATGACGTTTACAAGATCTATGAAACATGTACAATGCGGTTTCTGTTATCGGCAAGCTAAAAGTGAGCAGCGGAAAGTACTCCATACAGGAAGCTCTAGAGTAATAAAACGGCCTGGTTTTGATCTTGGTGTGATCCTCATACTTTACCCTAGATCACTGGAACTTGTTAATTTAACCTTTGTGTTGATATGAAACTACCTCAGAGACATATGGCCTCGTCAAGCACTACGTTGTAGCATTAGATTGAATGTTCTCCTGGAAAGCCTTCGCTGAATCCATTGCTTAACTTTGGCCCGCCGTAGGTCAGCGACCTTACAAGATTCATCTGAATGTTTCACGCCAAACGAATTGCTATTCAATTGTTTGCAGCTATACAGGGCTTAAACTTGACCCAACCCGAGCGCATGTTCACGGATTTTCAACGGGAAGACGGCGCGGATTCCGTTTTGCCTCGTCTTCTCCCCCCGCCGCCCGGCGACTGGTGGTGCAGAGCTTTGTTAACTCTTCAATATATGAAACCTATTGGAGAGAGCTAAATTGCCGGGTTGTCATAGTTACCAGTTTTTAACAGTTGTTTCTTGGTGTGCACGATATCAATTATCCGACACATCCATGCCATTCGGCAAACAGTATCCAGGCAACATCCATTCTCCCACTTATCATGTGTTCATCGTCATTTCAAGTGTAGAGGCAAATTTCCGCGACTGGGAAGGCGTGTCGGATCGTTTACATTTTAAAATGTGGTCTGAATAATCCAAAGCAATCTTAAGCGTAAGGAATGTCCAAAATCGTTTCAACGTAACAAGTTTTAGTCTGAAGAAATTCCGGCAATCGTTCTTGGGTGTAGCTGAAGGGATTACTTGCAAATGAAGGGCAAAATATTTGAATTTTGGTCGGTGTACTCGATTACGCTTTGGTTCCAGATTGTAAGCTGAGAACAAACAATGTGTTAACACACTGGACATCAGACCTGGTCACGACACATAGATGGCCTGACAGACTGCTTGATCATTTCAAATGTCACAACAAAATGTGCACCCTGAACTGTGTGGTAACCGACTCGCCTAATGAAATTGACAATGAACATTGATGCACGTACATACCTGTCGCGCGGCCACATTTTTCTGACCACTGCGAGAGAAGCATGCAACCGTTGTTATGCAACTATCTGCGATGAATTCGACGGCACGTTCCCATTGCCACTGGCAACGTTTCTGCCTGAGGGATCAGCCGAGCGGCAGCCGACTTCCTGAGCACCTTGATGTGCGCTGTTAAAATAATGCAAAGGTCACGGATCGGCGGCCCGGTCCAGCAGCTGTCGACCCGACCCGACCAACACAAATTTTGCAGATCCGTCGATGAAATCCCAAAAACTGGCAAATGCATGCTGGTTAAGTGTTTTTCGTTGACTGTAGTGACAGCACGAGTGGTTGTGCCACGTGGCCGCAGAGTCCAACTGCACTCGGCTTCGGACCAGATCCTAGGACCATTTCTAATATATATAAACGATAACTCACAAAACAGCCCGTGGAGTACATTTTTCTTAACGTAACGTATGCTAACGCTAATAATGGCCCACAGCGCATTGTAGCCAACGCTGCTCGTTTGTACAATAAAGCCACTGAAGGTCGAAAACGATGTAGATAATGTTTCAGGTGGTATTTATCTTTCCATTGACGTTTATTATCCTGTCTTACCAGGATACATTGTAATCAAAAGGGAGGGTTTGTTAAATGGAATGTTCCATACTTGAATATATTGAGGCAAGCGTCAGATATGACGGCATAAGCTCACTTATAACTCTTGCTATTCTTTTGAGTAGAAATAACTATTCCAGACAATGCAATTCCCCTACTTTGTCATTATGTTCCTCAATGCGTGATTATTTAATTGCCCCATCGTATCTTGCACAATGATGGAGAGCCCATTGGCGACCAGTATACCTGGAAATTGTGCTGACGAATACCGTATATGAACGACTCAACATTAAAGCTTTATTGGCATGGACCGCCGGATGGGCACTGGAATAGCCGGATTTGAATGACGTCATTAGGACGTCCTAGATGCTTTGGCAACCTTGGAATAGTCTGCGCGAAAAAGTCTGCACATCTTCGTAGGTGCGTGGCTCAGAAACTAGACGGATTTAGGTGTCAAGAAGAATAGGGCTGTGAGCTGCAGCGAATAATCGTCAAGATGGTATTTTAATTCAAAACCTCACACAACGCTCCCTTTAAATTATTACTTTACGAGTGTTATATTCGTAATAACTACGAGGAAAACAAAACTTCTTGTGTTATGTTACACAAAACGTAATCCGTGTTATAACACTGCATTGCCTCCACAATATTGGTTGAATGGCAATTGACGGCCGTTTCATCTGAACAGCGTGCTCTCGAGCGCCAGATATGAACGACTCAACAACTGTATTTCGTCTTGACCTTCAGCGCCGCATGAACAGTGAAATGGCAGGACTTTAATGGCGTCACTATGACGCCAATGGGTGCTCGGGTAGACTTAAGATAGCCTGCACGAAATAGTTCTCACATCTTGGGGGGGCGCATAGCTCAGAAACAAGCGGGTTTTATGTCTTAAGAAAGGCAAGGCGTTGAACTTCACCGAATGATCTTCAAGATGTCTATTCAAGTTCAAAATGTCATACCAATGTGGAACACTCCCTTTGAGTGCCTGCTGTGAACCCTGGCTAGGAAAAGTGAGGCATCTGTTGCGGCCAAGGCGTGGCGATTGACAGTCCAAGTGGAGCGCGAGATGTCTGACGCCAAGTGTTTGGGCTGACGTCTGACCGGGCAATCGGGGCGATAGAAACAAGACGGAAAGTGCCAACTGGTACAGAATGTTATTAATTTTTGTTTGCTAGCAACCCATCCCAAGCACATGTCGCCATATAGGTACGCACATAGCTTACAACATTACCATCATTACGGCACAGCAGAGCGCAACGGCACACTTCTGCCGCCCGAAACGCCGAAAATGCCCTGGTTGTGGCAC